AGGAAATTTACCTCAGGGTGCGATCAGATTCGGAGGGCAGATTAGCCATATTTTCATTGACACCTTATGGGGAAATTTGCCTCGTGGTACGACCAAATTCAGAGGGCGGAACGGATTAACCGTATTTACATTGAACCTTATGGGAAACTTTACCTCGACTTGAGACCAACTCGAGTTGCAACCAGAGTCACGGAATGGATTAAGTTCATAACTAGAGGTACCACTGTATCTGGAAATACAGAAACTTGAGACCAACTCGAGTTGCAACCAGAGTCACGGAATGGATTAAGTTCATAACTAGAGGTACCATTGTACTAAAAACATATTATTCACAAGTAAATCCTGAAAATTTAAGTAAAAAATTAGAGGCTTCAAAAATGTTATAGTGAAACAACATTGGTTGCACTTTTAACAGATATAATGGTTTCCCTTCCCTTTAAAGGTCAGCTTGATTGGGATTACTCCAGAGCAGGAAGTCTGTCTCCATTGATAGAATGGTGCTTTCTGGAAGATCAAATTGTCTTCCTTCCTTGCAGAATGAGTTGAAAGAGAGAGCAAGCAAGCCAGCCAAGTTCACACCTACCATACTGGCATATATCTTGACCAGGACAAGTCAGGGTGTTCCCCTGCTTATCTGATACCCTATAATAAGTCAGTGAGGTGTCCACAGAATAGAGAGTCTGGAGCAGCAATGACTACAAATTAAATTATTAAAGACCTTTGGAGACCATTCAATAATCTCCAGCCCTGCCTCAATCCAGACAGCCAAGATATTATGAAAGATCTATTAGTAATTAATCTCTGAAACACCATATGGGGATGAAGGGCCAAGCAATTCAGTTCAAGCTCCATGTCACATGTGATCTTTTGCTGTCCATTCTTCTTCTTCTCATGACAGAACTATTTTTTCAGTCTTTGAAAAGCTATTCTGAAATGTTGCAGAAACAAATCCAGTTTCAGAACTAACTCTGGCAGAACTTCACACTTTTCCAAGTGGAGAGAGTGCAGCCATTCCTGCTCCAGGTCTACTTGTTGAGGCTATAGTAAGTTATAGCAATCCAGGCAGAGATCCAACTCTTTTTTCTCTTATTCTCTAATAGCTCCTCCTCCTTTTATAAGAATGTCAAGGTCACAAAAAGAGTTTGGCCCACCAAATTAATGGAGAAGTGCTTAAGAACTGTAGGCAGGTTTACGGGACACCTTTCTCAGATTGTAGGGGACAGAGCAAAGGAAAGAAGCAGTCAAGCCACACTCTTCCTCCCCCTCCAATTCCATATTTAGATCCTCCAAGTCCAAAATAACCTTAGTGGGGTAAAAAAACCATTATCCTTGACCAAAAGGTGCATGGAGAGATTATTCTATAGAGCCCTAGTCTCTAGATGCCTCCAAAAACTTGTAAAATCAGTGGAAGTCCTACAGCTTATATAACAGAAGAAGGCCATCAAGAATTGTCAAGGCTAAATAGTTTGAAGTACCAACACTTTACTCAAAGCTGTTGCAACTATCAGAATTGCTCCTCTATTCAGCAATTCTAAAACACAATCCAAAAGGTTTGCTAGTTAAATAAAGACTAAATCACCATTACTGTAGTATGTTATAATCTTCAGGCAAATGTCATAAAAGACCAGGCCATACTCCAATGCAGATTCTTCAATTGCAGCCCTATCCTTTAAAACCCATCCTCTGCTCTAAATGGATGAGTTGCTAATAGACTACCAAGGCTAAGCATAACTTGACAGGATCTGGATAAATGTAGTCAACAAGGGGTATGACCCAGGGTCATCAAAACATCAACATGTTTTGCATTCCAACATTTTTCACTGTGATTTGTATCAAAGTATAATGAAGAAGATACAGAACTCATGGATTTGACTGAGTTAATCAATAAGCCTACCTCATGTCTTTTCACTAATTCCACTAAGCCCAAAGCTTGTTTAGAAGATCTGGGATCACAAGGCTAAAGTAATCCTTATGGCTTTAAAATGGCCCATTTTTAAAATGGTTTTCTGTCTTGGAATCTCTATCAAAGTCCAAAACATTTCCTTTTTTTCTTGGGGAAGGACCTGCCACACTAAGGGCTCATTCTGAATCAAGTTCCTGGCTTTCTAAAGCCAGCCACCCAGAAATCAAATGGGAACTGTTGGCTACTGAGAGATACTCAAGTAAGATAATCTTTACTTCCGTAGCTTCCAAAAGGAGTTTGATCAATTAAAGCTCCAAACATACCTGGTTAGTATTTCTTTCTTGTTGCACCTTAGATGCCAAGATTTTCCTATTGGAAAGCCTTTCTGCTGCCCTTAAAGTGATATGAACATGTCTAGATATGAAAAATGTCGGTTTCTCAGAATGTAATAATAAAAAACTTACAAAAAACAAATAGCTACTTATATGAAAGATAGCTTTCAGATACCTCCAGAAATAATACTTTTCTTTTTTGCTGCAACAATGAGTCTAGTCTTATCAAACAACAGTAACGTGACAACTTTACACACAGAAAGACATATTCTTACTGTGAATTCTTATTTCTTATTCCTAGATGGCATTTTTAATCCCTTATTGAGATCACCCTTTCTCCTGCAGAATCAGTTAGAGGGACAACACATGCCTATCTCAAGGATCACTGATTGCTTCCACTATTGTATTTCCTAGCACCTTACACAAAGCTTGCTGGTCAAATGAATCTCCAATGTATTTTTGGGTGTGATGCCTCACTTCAGCTTTATGGCTTTCCTCAGAGTTGCTTGAAAAGGCACTTTCATGGAAAAATCTCTCTAGTGCATGAGTGAACTTAAGGGACTTGGACTTATCCTAAAATTTATTGTCAGCCAGTTGGAGTTATAAACTTTGAACAAGAAATTGGAACTTCATCTGAAGCAAATGGCCTGGTAGCCTAGGAAGTGGACAGAATAAATTTCTTCTCAGAGAATTCACTTCCTTCGTTCCATAAGAAAAACGTATTGATGAACTTGAAAGAGTTCTCCATCCTGTTTTTTTGTTTGTGCCTTAGTAACTTCACATTTTCCCCCTTGTTCCTGTTAGGAAGACATGGGATCTAGGCTAGAAAAAAATATTTCCCATCCATTAAACTAACCCATGTACTTCATAATATCCTAGATTTTATATCCACTGAATAAAATTAAGGGCACAATATTCTCCTCTCTATCCATGATAGACTGGGAGAGCTAAAAAACTGGCAATGGAGTTCAGAAAGAAAATTTAAGGGGTAGTCTGTAACTGATTTCCTTCTGAAAAACAAAGAAGGGATTAAAAAAAAATCCATTAGTGGTGCCATAAATAAAAATGAAAAAAAATATTATTGCAGTTGTGATCTTCATTGCTTGTGGCATGCTTGTATTCCTGCCCAAACTCAACCTGGCACATTTTTGCAGCAAAAGCAACCTTGTACAAATGGTTGACAGAAACCCTACAAAGACTAGAGCAGCAAGTGACCATATTTCAGCTCACAGGATGAAGATTTGTTACATCAAACACACAAAGCACTACAACAAAAACTGAGGAAGAAAGCAGTTCTCCATAAGGAGGAGCAAATGCAGCGGACAAGAGCAATAGCCAGAAACAAGAGATGTAAGGGGTATTTTGTAGAAATGGAATGAAGCAACAGCTCTGAAGCCCTCATAAATGTAACAAGTCCTGAGTTTTCAGGAGAGGGAAATGAACACTGATGAACAGGAGAGAGGATCCATGAAAAGCAGAGGGGTTACAGCTGCAGCCCAAAAGAAAAGAGTTGTCAACGTTGGTAACTCCTTACTACAAAAGCAAGAAGCAGTCAGCAACGTAAGCTGGAGTCTGGAAGACTGATGGTGACACAATTGTGTAGGATAATTTCTCAATGAATACAGGGCAGTATCTGATAGCCCTCATCTAAACCAAAAAGAGACACAAATAACATCTTTATGTGGCAGGGAATTTATTCCTACAATTAGTGCTCAAAGTATGTCTCCTACCAGATAAGTATATACAGTTAAAGATTTCAATATCATTTTAGAGTCTTACCTAGGCATAAATATTGGTACAAAAAAAAAAAAAAAAGACAACCCCTTTGTAAAACTGGACAGCATTGCAAGTAAATATTTTGGAATTTTGGTTGTTATTTGATGTTTACTAAATCTAAAACAGAGTTTACACCCTCAAGTTGTGGATTCCTCTACTGCAACATCAACCTGTGCTCCAATGACTTACACTGAAACTTAAAAGCTACAAACCTGTTAATTCTAGATGGTATTTGGATAATTTATTACTAGATCTTTCCTTTTTGAATATATCAAGAAGGATTTAAAACAAGCAAAGATTTCTATATATTATCTATATATTAACACTATGAGATTTGTTTAAGGCATATATTTATGGATGCACAATAGCTTTTGCCTCTGCAAAAAGAGAGCTGGAGATTTTAATTGTACACTGCTGGAGAAGATAATTAAATATTTACTCTTGTCTCACAACAGAAACCTTACTGATGAATCTTATAATTCTTATAAAATATTTATGGCAACTATAGTGGCCAACTTATTAGAAAAGGTCAATATACTTCCAATACCAAAAAAAGGAGACTTAACAGAGTATACAAA